TTCTAGAAGACCTGACAGTTGCATTAGAAAACAGGCATCCCTTGTTGTGTAGGATAAATGACTCATGGGTGGAGCACCTGCCCAGCCACAAACTAAAAATTCCATTCACGCTTTGATTCTGTTGTTTATGCTGATCTCTCACAGTAAAGATATTTCAGTACCGATTGTTGAAAGAGACTGTTCAGAATCTGTTTCAGAACAGATTGTTAGGCTGAATGTGTAATGATTTCTCCAACCTCACCTTTCAAGTAGTTTGTAGTTTTCAGAATATTTCTCTTAAGCTAAGGTTTTCAGCGTTACAGGCTAGCTCAAGGTGCGAATTTTGCAAATATTAAGCAAAAACAGTTTCGAGGGTTTTTTGCATAGGAAAAATTCTTCTGTTACTAAAAAGAGATATTGTGATTTTGTGCAAAGAGCTTTATTGCCAAACAGTTAAATTTGAAATACAGTGCAGAAATAGCCCCTGTTGAGGACAAATACCTTTGAGTATTTTGTAGAAAATTGGTTTTAATTTAACTAACCTTCAGGCACCTTTTGAAAACCAGTAATAGTTTTTCTGTAAGTTCCTAAAGTTCACAGTTTATGAAAGTTTTATTCTGCATCAGTGAAGAGCTGGATAATTTAACAGCCTGGTGAAAAACATGCTGAGTAAGTTTGGAATGATACATCGATTTGGTAAAGTGCCAAGAGAAGGATGTGCTGGGAGGCACCTTATGTACTGTACAGTCTCCGAAGTTTTCTAGAGTAACACTTCCTCTGGCATATAAAAGATGTGAGAGGTAGGAACCCTGATATTTGGTATTATATGTTCAAATATAATTGCAGATATGGACTTAACTCACACTATCACTACTTATCCTATATAGCACAACTCTGACTTCTTAAAGCATATTTTTCACTTTAGAAAATTTCCTGGGAAGGACTACTTGTTAGTGAAAGTTTAAAGTCGTGTCATCTCAACTCTGCCCTGTTTGCCTGTGAGCATGCATAATCCAGTCTTCAAACGCATGAAAACATGCTGCTTCTCATAATTCAGTAAGATACTCTTCTAAGCAGAACGTTAGGACCATTGTTGAAACATAGAATATAAACAAAACTGTAAATGTTTCACTTCATTGTTTCATTGTCAATATCTTGTAATTCAGTAAGACAAATGCTGTAATTGCATCCTACCACTGAGATTATATTTGCCTTGAACTATAGATCTCAACCCTGAAGTTTGCCGTGGGGTATGAAATTAGATAAACCCTTCGTATGGGTGGAGTTCAACTATAAGTTAACAGCATTTGCTGTGGTAAACCATTTTGTTCATCATCTCTTTTTGCTGAAGTGAGTCCTCGGTGTGGTTTGGGTGCACCACTTGGGTAACTGCTGAAACTGCTGTGGTTTCAGAATAGGACCTGTTTTGCTTTTTTCTGAACTTTTTTCCCCTGAAACTATTAGCAGAAAAATCAAATAAGTAAGGGTTAGAACTGTTTGCCTGCACTTTCATACTGCCATACCTCAAAAACAGTGAGCAGTACCATGTAAAAATGTAGCATTTTCCAGTGACTATAAGATTAATGCAATCTCAACTACTACTAAGAGTGTGTTTTGCAATATTACGATTTTACCAATGTCCTTCAGTTCAGTTGGTGACTTTTTAATGTGGTTTGGGTATTTTTGCTTTACATTACAGAATGTGTACCCACATTCTTGACATACTAAACATGGGAATACAAAAATCTTTGTGTAATTAAGTATACGCTTACTGCACTGGGAGATTCACACTTGGTGTAAGCCAGCAAGGATGTCAGAAAGATAATTCTGGTGTCGTTATTACTAATTTGTGGTAGTAAATGAGTAAATTTGAACATCTAACTGAACCAAACAAACATCTGCCAGGCCTCAAAACCATGTTTTCCTGAGTGTGGCAGGATAAAACAAACTATAAGCAATGTACAAAGTGTAGTGAAAGAGGGCTCGTTGAAGACTCTGTTGTGAGTGCCAGGATTGGTGTATTCAGCATGGGCACTGCCCTTAAAATTGCTTTGCAAAAAATAAGCCTGATTTTATAAGGGTTTCCCTCTTTCACCTTTTCTTCAAAATAACAAAATTATAGCCCTCTTCTATTCTTTAACATATAAAAAACTGAAGAAAATGGCACTCAGGATGTAAACCGAAAATTTTCAATATTATCAGCAGTAACTCTAGTATTCATGGTGATATTTCCTCTACAGCAAAGTTATTCTTTGTGATCTGTTGTGAAGATGAAGCATGAGAAACCCCGATGCTCTTTGTGTACGTTCTGAAACCACTAGGGTCTTCGTGCAAAAACATTAAACAGGCCACCTAGAAAAAACATGTTTGCTGAGCAAATACGTTGAAAATTCTGCATTTGTATTAATAGTCACCAATTCCACAAAGTGGTTTTGGCAACAGAAGATTGAACCTAAGAAAAGGGCAGCTAAAAATGGGTCATTTTTGCCTCTATCAATCAAAATTGGTTTGGGGCAATATAGGGTGAAGGATAGTAGGGGGAATTTGCTTGCTAGTAACTGGCAACAGAGGAAGGAGAAAAAAATATAGAGGGCTCTTGTTTTGCCTGGACCTTAAATTAGAAATGCAGATACTTTAATTCTCTTTGTAATTTAAAATAAGTTAAAATAATTTGCTCTTTTATCTGGAGAATTACATACAAAATGCTGAGTTACTCATCTCTTACCAGGTTTGCTTAGTTCCCTAACACTGCGTAGCTGTGGCTGCAGGTGAGCTCTCCTAAAGCGCACAGTGATGAGTGGGATGTAAACGTAGCAGTCCATTTCAGAGAACAAAACGTGGCCTCTGTTGATAGAAAGGCAGTTTGAAACTGTGGTGAAGGAGGGTCCATGCTTGTGGGGAGAGCAAATGCTGCTGGTATTTCCTGTGTATTTTGTCACTTCCTTCCATGAAGGACAAATCACTGGTCTGATCTGCCTGTCTCTGGAAGTCCCATGTGATTGCCAATATGGGTATCCGTATATCCTTGCCACATCTGTTAACCAGGATGGAGCACGTACTTAGCCATGAAAAATAGTACTAGAGTGAACTTTCAGAGATCTCGTTTATCCTCCAGCTTCAAGGCAGCTAAACCAGTGTGATTTCTAGAAACTGCTTCTCAAACCTCAACAACTCCATGGGTGATGGAATGCAACAAGTTCCCTAGGCAGTCTTGAGTATTCTTAAGTTTTAAAAATGTTACAGATTGTAAATCTCTCGTGGTAAAATCTAAATCCATTAACCTTTTTCTTGATGGAAGATTTGCCTACAGGACTACGATCTCCTTGAATACTCTGAAGACTAACCAAATCCAGTTATATCTCCTACTGCATGTGTCTTGTTTTCTACACCTCTTTCTGTCTGCTTGTTCAGCTGTGGACTTTCTTGCTTCACATTTTCCCTGAAGCACAGTGCCTGCAGGTGGTCGCTGTATTGCATCTGAGGCCCAAGTCTGGTGTTAGCACTAATGAGATAATTCTGCATGATTCCTTCAGCTCCCCTGTAAATCTGTGCCTGACTGAGTTTGAGGACTATAGGCCCCTGCACCCCATGCAGTCATTAAGGAGGTGCCCCTAGCATGGTGTGGAGCCCGCTGATGGCAGAGGGCTGTATGTCTGGCAAGCTGAGCGCAGGGAAGATGGACTTTTGGCTGGCCCCTGGGGTAGGAGAGACTGAGCTGTGATTTAATGGCACGTGAAGACAGGCTGCTGAATAGGTTATTTATTTAGTACAAGTTTGCTGATCTTTATTTCTCTTCTTTGACAAATGAGGATTTCAACAGATTTGGGCAAATACTGTTTAATGTATGCAGTTTATGCATACATGAGCTCCTACCGAAGTACCTTCTTAAAAGCTATCAGGCTATGTCTTAGACATGCCAAGTACATACTCTGAAATTTGGAGTTTTGACTCCATTTCTCTGTGCTTTCCTGGTATGTGTATCCTGATGTGAATAAATTATAAGATTCCTATTATAGTTCAAAGAATTGGACGTTTCAAAAAAGATAGCTTTATTAATGCAAACAATCTATGTAATTCAGGTTATTATGCAGGAAGTTGTAAATATTTGTTTCTTTTAAAAATGTTTCTGGATTTTCCTTTGTCATTTGTCAAGTACATGGTATAATCAGGATTGTTCATCCAAGGAGTATTTTCCCTGGGGGCTAGATTGTGTGCCTGTCAGGAGCAGTCTTTTTTTTTTTTTTAAGAGAAAAAAAAAATCACATTTATCTGTTTAGTTATTTGACCTAACAAAATAGTACTTTTTGCAAGGGGAATTAAAAATTAACCGTTGAGGTTCTAATTGTAACAGATAAAATATACAACCATTATTTATGAGCATACACAGTAGCTCCTGTGATTTCATTTGTTATTGGGGTGGAATATAAGAACAAGCGGTCACCTACAAAAGGTGGATTGCACAGCAAGCACCCCAGAACAAGGTGATTTCTTAATCAGTCTCTTTTCCCTTGTATGTGTGGTGGTAGAAGGATAAACCAGTTCCAGGAAAAAAAACAGAATGCATGCATTCTGTAAAGTCACAGATAAGTTACTATTTAATTCTATTTGATTAATTATTTATCTTTAGTGATATATATTTTTAAGTATTTGTCTTTTATATAATCCCAAACTTAAACTTGAAATGTCTCTGATCCTGGCAAATGAACTAAAGTCATACTTGTCAAATTCTTCTGACCAAATGTCTTTATATTGGGTTTTATCATTTAAAATCTTGATGATATTAGTGTTGCAGTATGTGTAAGTAAGATAATAAATCCATTTAAATAAAACAACTGTTTGAGATTATTTGCATTGAGAAATGAGTACCATTATATTTGGTTAAATTTTAAACCACCCCAGGAAGAATGGATGATGCTAAAGTGTATCAGCACAGTTTCCTATTTAGGGGTTTGCATTGTCCATGGTAAGTAACTTCTCTTTTTCTCCTTTTGTTGTTTTTTTTTTTTTCCTAAACTTTCCAGGTAAAAGTACTCCTGTAAGCCACCTTGGGTCTTCAGATTTTCCCAAGCCCCATGATCCATTCCAGCCATTTGGGGCTGACAGCAGTGACCCGTTTCAAAGTAAAAAGGGGTTTGGGGACCCATTTAGTGGAAAAGATCCATTTGCTCCTTCCTCTTCAAGTAAAACTTCTAAAGACTCTTCCTTGGGGTTTGCAGACTTCAGCTCTGTAAGTTAAGTTCATTGTCTCTGAGCAAACCACTTTCTGCTCTGCTTGCAGCAATCTATTGGGTTTTTATTTTAACTGCAAACCTACTGTTCACTGGCTTCTGTCTCTTAGTACCTTCATGCTGTCCTCATTGGTTTTGTATTAATATTTCTGTAATAAAAAGGCATTATTTCAATAAAAAAGAAGTTTCATACTAAATTTTAAAGGGTTTACTTGCATTTAAATTATTTTAGTACAGTGTGCCTTTGCTCACAAATTCTTTGTAGCAGAATCTCTGTATTGTTTTTGTTGCATGGAGGCTATTTTGTAAACTGATTTTTGGGAGCCAATGGTGTAAAGATTCAAAAACAATTGTTGAGAACATTTATATAGCAATTTCACGATATTCTGAGAAGCAAATCCTTAAAGGGAAAGGTTCCATAAAGTATTTGTAATTGTTTGTGAAAAAAGTTCTGACAATCCTGTCACAATGTTTGCTGTGTACGATGGAATGTGGTCATAAAGATATATATGCGAGACAGAGATTGAAAATTTAGCTGTTGGATTTTGTTCCAATTACTGATATTGTAGAAAAGCCCTTGTTAGACAAAGAAAACAAAATTGTTTTGTAGAACCAATATAGAAACATCCATACTGCACTCAAAAGACAGTATTGGAAGGTTTGGAAGCAAAGCCAAGTACCCATTCATTAAGAAATATCAGGGTTTCTAAAAGCCTGGCTTTGTTTTTAGTGCTGGCAGGTACGTTACTGAATTGGAAATCATTGTAAATGTAGTAGTAATGTGGTTCTTACAGCTTCCATGAGTAGATAGAAATCTGTTCCATCCACAGCCTCAGGCTTCTTCCTCCTTTCATGTGTTTTTGTTCTGTCACGTTGCCATGCAGTAAAATTGCTAACTTAATCTGTTACTGAACTCTGATGGACGCAGTTCAGTGTTCAACAAGTGGAGATCTTTAAGCTGGATCTTTCAGGTTGCTTATTTTTAATGGTTTTTTTCCCCTAGTTATTAGTTAATAGTAAATGTGTATCACCTTCCTATTTGATATTGTTAGTTGAGGTCATCTGTGCATACTTTTAGCTGGCCTCAGTGCTTTAATTTATCTATGATACTGAAGACATCAAAGTTCAAGATACTATGTATGCTTTACCACAGTTAGTACTAGCCTGTTGAATTTGCACAGTTAAATTCTGTGATTGTATACAAAATGGTGACATTCTTAATAAAAATAAGACGCAAAACTTGCTTTATCTGAAATTTCTTGAACAACATCTAATTTCTTCCTTGTTGGAAAGACAAATAATGGAATGGAATGGAATGACTGTTTCCCAGCTAATGTTGTCTTTCTTTACAGACTGCATTTCTTAAGTTAAAAGCGTGGCTTACACTGAGTGATTGTATCAAATGATTAACCAAAATCTCTGGTCCCTATCCCAGTGAGTGCTCTAGTGTTAAATTTGCTGTACCATCAGGTTTTCAGGAGATGAGATTAACTTTAGAAGATAAGGAAAAAGTAGGAAAAATGAGATCTTGAGCAGTAGCCACTTATAATTACTGTTAAGTGGCACTTCATCAAATGAAATTAATTTTTTAATCAGTTTTGTGAATTGCTTTCTACTGCTGTAAGAAAAACAAGAAGTGTTAACTGAATTTGACTGAAAAGAGAGAGATCCCTGTTCTTTTCAGTTTGTTGGGGGTTTTTTTGCCTGCCTATAACGCAGTTATGTTGCTACACTTGATAATTCCTAATCCTTCTGTATGAAGTCTTAAGTGTACTAGTTACCTTGTAATCAGCATGAATATTGTGCTTATCTTTGCCTAATGTTTGGGAAACTTTGTTCATAATGGAAATTAAAGGCAATTTTACTTACAGAAGGGTTTTTGACACACAGAGTCCATGGAATCTGAGAACAGAATCATAGAATCGTGTAGGTTTGAATAATTGAATAACCTGATTTTTAATTGGAATTTTTTACTGTTGCAAAGAAGTAACATGAGGACCTGCACTAGGTTTTAGTAGCACTCTAGAAAATGTGGCGCTTTTTTTGAGATACTGGCAAATTCATGCACTCAGAGTTTTAAGTATATTCTCATTGCATTCTTAACTTTTCCACTGGCATTAAATATGACTCTTTGGAACAAAACAAAGTCTTTTGGTAGCTCATATTTCAGGTATTTCTAGGTTCCAGCTTCAGTTTTCAGAACAACAAGAGAAGCAATCTTTTTTGCCAACAGAAAGCATTTAAATTTCCAAGAAACAGAGCACTTAGAACTAAACTAAAATTTTTCTCTTAATATAAGCTGGTAATTTAGTAAACATAAGTCAGTGTAGTTTGTTGTGTATTTGATTAGTTTGGCTGCAGTCTGCTGTTTTCCTCATTTATGCCTTGGGTCTAGCTGTACTTGTGGAAAAAAAAAAAAAGATATTTTTAATGAAATGACAGATATGTGATACATATTTATAGACTTCTTGAAACCTGGACATATGCAAAGAAATTGTTATTGTATTAAATGACTTGTAATTCAGTTATATTACCTTTTTATGGGCAATCTGTGCAAGAGTCAGTGGCATTAATGAACTGTTGTATATTTCACTATCTAATGGTCAGAGTTATGCTCCTGAAAATTTTAGTTTATGCTAACCATTTGTAATAAGGCACATCCAGATTTGTTTCCAATGAATCACTTGCCTATTCCTTTTTTTTTTTTTTTTTTACTCAGCACTTTAACCACAAAAATATAACTTGTGTACCATAAACAAGTCATAATGGGGACTCTCATAAGCTTTGGAAGACTAAGATGTAAGCTATATAAGTAAAACTGTTTTCTCAACAATAAAAAAAAAAAAGACACCCCGGAGGGTTTGACCAAAGCTTATTGTATTTCTGAAAATAGTAACTCTTATTCTCCATCCCAGCTATATGATCTTTTTGAATTCTTGGAATAACTGGAGAAGTCCTACTTCCATTTGAATCCATCTTTACTGTATCTTGAAAAAAATAATCTATTTAAAATCTTAGTGAGCTTTTAAATCTTACTTGTCAGCTGACATTATTTAAATGAGTAATGATAATAAGTTTTCTTCACTTTGTAAGTAAAATACCATAAAATGTGTGGCACTTTTATTGTATTTCAGTAACACTGAATGCAAGGTCCTCATCTAAAACTTGATAGCAATGAAAGCAGAGGTATTTGAAGAAAAGTAATTTTAAAATAGTCCTCTTTTTTTGCATCAAATTATCTGAAAAATCATATTGAGAGAAATAAAATGAGGAATTGTGAGCATCCAGAAGCACACAGATAAAGCATAATTTAACTAAATTATGAATAAATGAGAATTGGACTGGGTTGAAAGAAATTCGAATAGACGCATTTATTTAAAAAATATGAATTATAGATACAATGCAGAGTGGAAAAGGCAGGGGTGGGGCCATCACGTAGTATATAGGCAGCTAGGCATAGGTCTAGCACTTAAAGTTGCATTTAATACTCAGTTCAGTATTTCAAGCTTGTCTGGGAAGGTGTAGCCATATCAGCTAGTGCAGTGGCATATTTTGCTGTGTTCAGAGTTACTATGTTGTGGACCACAGGGCAATTTTTGCAGTATACATTCAGCTGAAATTGAAACTATAAATTCCATGTAGTTTTCTCTTCCAAAAAAACCCCAAATAATATGTTTTCCTGAACATTCAAAAAAAGATAGTACAAAGCAAATTTTAGAAGTGGGATATAATGCAAACATTTGCATGCAACTGTGCGAACACTTCTGTTAACATCATCCTCTTCAGCGAATACTAAAATTAAACAGTAATGGATTATATTTTAGTTTTAAATTGTTATGATTTGAATAAAATATTTTAATATTTTGTGCAAAAATTTCAAACAAGCAAACTTTTGCATTCGTCAGTGGTAAATACTGGAATATAATTTTGCAATAGTTTTGCTGCAGTGGACTTAAGTGTGTTTTGGGAAGCTCAAACAGGCTTAGAAGCTTAGAATGTTATAATGTGTTATATTTCCTTAGTGTTTTCTGCAGAAGTAAATTGGATTCTCTTACATTATTTCTTACTGGAAAAACTCTGCATGTATTTTACGAACAGTAACAGAAGCGCTTTTTTGTAACTTTTGATTTGGTGATGAAACTTCCCACAAATCAGAAGTCTCCAGAGTCATTATTAAAACCCCTCACCCTTAGCAGGAAATACTACAATAAAACTCTCTGCAACGGAGTTGCACAAGACTAAATAACTCTTGTTTTTACCAGCTATTTACTATTCTTAAAAATGGATGTAGGTTGCTATGCTCCCAAACCACTAACTTGCTTTTTTTGTGTTTGTGGGGTTTTTGTTTGGCTCCAGTCCCGTGGCCATTTTCATACACAACTGGGACATGGATGCAGGGACGTGCAGCCCAGATGAGTTAGTTTCCTGGTGGGAGGAGGAAGAAATTAAGGAAATAAATTAAAGGATGAAGTGAGGAAATCAGTGAGTGAATTTTTATCTTAATCCAGAAGAACTACCCTAAGACAGCTTGGTTTACTTGATTCGTATATTTAATAAGTCTGATTCATTGTATGTTTCACATAATTTCTTCTAGCTTTTTTGTAAATTTATTAATTTATTTTCCATTTTCATTTTTTAGTTTGGAAATGAAGAACAGCAGCTGGCATGGGCAAAGCGTGAGAGTGAAAAAGCAGAGCAAGAAAGACTAGCTCGATTGCGGAGACAAGAACAAGAAGACCTTGAGTTGGCCATTGCGCTCAGTAAGGCTGATATGCCAAACTCTTAAATAGAGGTTCTTTGGCTCCACCCTGTCCAAGTGAAACCTTTAAACACGGCTTTTATAAAAATACTAAATTCTTGGTTTATGTTGTGAAAATAATTTTAGTCACCTTCAACTCTAAACAGGACTGGCTGGTTACGTCAAACTGGGCTCTGTGTGGCTTTTCAAGTGCATAATATACAGGAAACACTGTATAAGCTGTATTATATGTTCTAGGTAAAATTTACTGCTTGTAAGAAATTTAACGTATGATCCTAAGATACTGAAAGCAAAGTTTCTTTATCTGGAAGACAGTGTTGCATATAGTAACCTGCAACTTGTGAATCTGGCTTTTTATTACCTGAATTCCATTGTTTTTTTGAGGCTGTAGTATGAATTTCAAACAAAATGTCATAAAAAGATAATATTTATAGAATTAGCTTTCACTTATTACATTTATTTAATAATTCATGGTAGGCTAATCAGTATGTCATCTGCATCATCTATGTCAAAGTCTTCAGCATAAATTAATTATTAGATGGTCCCTTTTTATCCAGGAGATGTGGCTTTTACAAAAGAATCTGGCAATTTAGATATGATGAATACAAACATAGTGAATTGTGTAAAATATTATGAATTTGAAGCCTCGATGAACGAGTAGTTCTTCTAATTTAAACATTTGTTTGCATTGAGTTTTAATAATTGTATGTGATGTTGTAAAAGAGGGAGTTAATTCAGTTGTAATAATTTGGCAATTAAATCATTAGGCGAAATCTTGCTTTATCTCATAAGCAAATATGATTGCAGGATTGTGATACAAGTTTGAGTGCTGCTTTCATGTGAAATCAAGCTTGGACAGTGTTTGTCCCTACAACTCATTTTACCCTCTTTTGCTCCAACCGCCAGAACATGGACAGTATTATTTGTGTTACTCAACTGACTGTGTGAGACAGTCTTTATTTCTTGAATTCCACCTATCTTACATTATGGCGTTACAGATCAAACATAATTTAGCTGAAATAAGGCCAAGCTGAAACAGATTTTATTTGCCAAATACATGTTCATGCATAAGTTACAGAAGTACTGGTAGACTGGATTGGCTTTAAAATACGGGTTGCAGTAGTAAGTCCAAGTAGGAACAGATTTTATATACACCTGTAGAACTCAATACTTCCACCTGGTAAGGATAACACAAAATGTGTTTTACATGTCATATATAAAATAAGTCCTTATGATAAATCTGTGAATTATTTGCTTATAAAAATGCCTTTTCTGATTACAGGAATTCTAAAACTTCAGTTGTCTTTGCCTTAGACTTTTATGTCTAAATAGAGTAGGCATCTAGCACAAAATTTTTAAAATGTCTATGTATAACGTATATCTGCTTTCCTATCCTTGGTTCTTTCGGAATACAAAGCTTAATAGTCTGTGTTGTCACTGATGCAGCGCTTATCTTACAACTTTTTCTCTATTTTTTTGAAAATGTGGTATTCCTTCGTCATCTTTAATGCATTTATATTTTTTATGTCCTTCCTTACTTTTATTTTTCGTAATACAAAGATAGTGCCTATTCACTGAATCTTTCCCCGTTCTGTTGCAATTGCCTTATTCTGGATGCTTTCCTTACACAGTGATCAGAACCAGATTGGATCATTTTAATCTTCTTAGTAGTTTTCAGCTCTGAAATGCAGCTAAGATGTGGCATTTGTTGTCTCAGGCTTTGTGAGTAGGTATATGGGTGAGTGCGTGTCTGTGTACGTATACACACACACACGCACATCCGTTCATTTACATATGCAGCAATACATATGACAAAACTGAAACCCCATATCTCAAAATGCAGTTTTAGGAGTCACAATTCCCTGGTTGCTGTGTCTCCCATGCTAACAGTACTACAAATAATGTGAATCTTTAATTGCCCTCAGAAGGGGAGAAGATGCATTCTAGTATCAAAAACAACCATATAATGATCTTTAATACTGTCTTTTAGTGACCCCTTTGGAATGCAGTAAAAGATATTTCTAATTTTACAGAATCTGATTTGAAATCCCTTCCCATTGTGGTAATTTTTCTCTAAAATATGTTAGATTAAATGATCAAATATACTAAAATGTCAACAAATTCTCTTTTCTCTTGGTGTACAGGATTTGAAGTCTCTGAGAGCAAACTTGGGTCTGTCTATAGCTAACATGAGATAAAACTTTTGCTATGAAAGAGCAATTTTCAAAATTGAATGGCTGCAGGATTCTCAGTGAAGTTAAACAAATTGTATCCGTGTGTAAGATTCTCCTTTTCTTTTTCCTCATTTGGGCCTGAGTCTTTGTGGTGTCTCTTCTGCTACAATAAAACCCCATTCATATGTAGTGCCATTTTAGAAAGGAAAACCACTTTTGGACTACTGTTTGGATTATGTCACTCCAGTGGGATGGGGTGGATGAGCTAAATAGCTTGATTCATTTTCTGAGTTATGTACCATAACAAGACTTTCTGCTACTTTGTCAGTGCTCTAAAATACTGTAATTTATAATGCTTCTAAAGCAATGAGTCGCTTTGGAAGCCAGAAATGTGAATTAATCTAGCATTCCATATAGTGTTAGAACTAATTGCTAATTTTCCTATTTCCTTATTGACTCATTCTTCATATTTGCTTGGACAGTAACAGAAGATCAAGCAAATGAACAAGGACAGAACATGTCCTCTATGCACAGGTATTAGATTTAGAAACCTTAGGTTTACTGAAACACTCTTGATTCAAAAGTTTAGACACTGCAGTAGAAGAAAACTTAGCTGTGATTTCTCCCCATTGTATTTAATAGTTTTCCTTATAAAAAGGAAGATTACCCACATTCTTCCCTTATGCTTGTAACTCAGTGTTTTGTATAATACCTGCAATTCTTCTAAGACAGAACTTTTATCGCAAGACATTGATCATCTTCTTCCTCCAGAACAGTGAAATTTAAAGCACAAATAGGCCTATCGCTATTTGGGCAGAGAAAATATGTACAATGCAAGATATATAAAATGTGAGTATACACAATGCATATACAGTGTACATTATGAGATCCATATTATTTGTGTCTCTGTGTGTGTATATATATATATAGTGTATTGTATAATGTAATAATAGTGTGTGTATATACTATATATGTCCACATACTATGTTTAGTATATAGTTACTTGTGCTGTACATAAAATGTGTATATACAATGAATATGTAGAATATGCATATATATTCTATATATTAAAGCTTGTGTGTATGTATGTATTCTCTAAACAGAGATGGATACAGAAATGGAATTTTTACTGAAATGCAGATTAGATTGTGGCTCTTAGAATTTCAAAGTTCTGGTGAAAGAAAAAAAAGGAGAAATGACTACTTCTAATAAATTTGTTTCAAGATTACTTTCATTGGCATGAAGAACTGTGTTCAGTAGCTGAGCCAAGTGTAAGAGAGAAACCTGGCAGAAACCTGCACTGGATGTGATTTCACATTCTTTTGAGTTTTGAAAGTGTCTTTTTGAAATGTAGGCTCAATTTCTGATCTTCTTGCATGTGATGGTCATGTCATCTGTTCTTTTTTCTCTAGGCTGAGGCAATGATTTTTCTCCTACATTTGCTTGTAGTTTCACTTCTCTCTTTTTTTTCCCTTTTTTAAAAATTATTTTTAAGGAGCTATTCCCATACACACATACACCCCAAACAGTCACATGCTAAGGTGGAAAACATGTTTTTCTTGCTTCATTCCAGTTATATAGGTTGCACATAATTGTCATCTGGATTTCAGCTCTGTTTTTCCTCCATTTCCACCTAAGCTTTTACTTCAGGAGGAATGACTATCCATTGCATTCTTGGCTTTGAGGAAAGAATGGAGGTGATTCTACTTTCTACTCGGGTAAATTATTAGACTCTGTGGTACATTGAGCAATCACAAAGAGTTTAGTAGGCTTTTATAGTGGCACATGTGTGTTTTATACAGAGTATCGTCACTGCTGGAATGACTCATGGAAAAACATGAATTGCACACAGCACCGAGGCACAACAGTTAAAACAGGAAAGACAGACAATTATTCAAGTTGAACCTACGCATGCAAACTTTGCATGTAGGACACAGGTATCGAATTACCCACATTATCCTTTATAGACCAGTACGTTCACATTTGCCTCGAGTGGTTTCCCTAAATTATATTCAAATAGTCTTGCTGTAAAACATACCAGTCATACGGCAATAAAAACAGATGCTTATAAAAGTAGTACTTCTACAATAATGCTGTATGAAATATTTTTATATTGGCAAATTTTTCCTTATGAAATCTCTGCCCTATGAGGATCATCAGTTCTTACTGTATTTTGTTTCATGTAATGTGCTCTCAAAGTGTAGGAAATTCCAAGCTGTGTCTGACTGTGTAACCTTTTTTTTTTAATTCCTGTCTGTGAAATCTGTTGTTAGAAATTTTTGTAGAAATTATTTTGTCATCTTATGCTCAAAGATAATGCACTTTTCTTGGATTCTTCTTATAATCCTTTTGGGGTTACTATTTCTTCTTTAGTGTTTCTCCATTGAGAAGAGTATTTATTCTGTAGAAGCGAGGCCCAAGGAATTTTGGTCCAAGTAGAGTTGTTGCTTTCCCTCGTATAAGAGTTCAATTTCTCCCTTCTTCTGTGTTTTATTCCTCCCTCTCAGGAATTTCATTTCTGTTTAATCCTCATTTAGAGTTGGAACTCTATTAAAGTTAATTGATCTGTGCTAATAATGATCTAGTTCAAATACCTTCCTACACCGGTGGAACAGCTAAGTTTTTGTTGTGTGTGAACCATTGCATCTCTCTGTAGACTTCACAACAAACATCTTTTCTTAGAAAGGAATTTTGCTTGGAGTACAGTGGAATCATAGAAGATTTATTTTTAGAGTAAATATGTTAACTATTATTCATTGACACACCTGTTTTATCAGTTGATATACTGCTCTTTTTACTTGAAAGTTTTATAAATAAAGGCTAATTTGTTATAAAATGGAATTTTCATTTTTC